GTGTGCCAATGAGTGTCATCTGTCACAAGCTACTGACTCTTATTAGCCATCGCTTCTGTTTGCACATCAGCAGTTTGTGAATACTGCTCAGTGGAACAATGTCCGGTTTAACACTAGTCCAACAAAGGAAGATGCTAAAGCTGCAAGATTTCTCGCATTCGAGAACCCAAGTGTTCCTTGTTTAACTTCTCTCTGTATTTATAACGATTGTTTATTGTTGAGGATAGATCAAAAGACAATGTAGCGTAGGTAGAGCCAGACTTCACATATGCTGAGATTGATGCATAATATGGGTCCAAACAAAAGACTTGTATTTTTGCAGTAGGGTACCTGTCACTTATTGGGGTTCAGATCATTTTCTCAGACAAACAACAATTGAACGAGTTTTGACAAATTAAAAGTTCTAAAGGTCACGAGTTTGTGGTTATGGCAGACTTCACAAACTGACTCGATAAACCGCAAAAGTCCGCAATCTATTGTGGACTATATTTTTTATTTTTCGCGACGGTGAAACAAGGCGTTGCACTCAAACACTTCCTCAGGAAATACTAGAGCATTGAACGATACGGAGAATTATTGAAATTGGTTCAATATAAGATGATAATTTTGTCTGGTATCAGAACCACATTGTCACATCCATCATATCATAATACTGGATCTAACGAATTAGAATGGGGTTATTGAAGGGACAATAGGCTATGCTGAAATACATTCAACTCTACATCCCATTGAAATCAGTGGTCACAGGGAGTCATTATTTATAGACAGAGAAAATTGCTTTGTAAACTAAATTGTTCCATTTAAGAACGACTTTGGTTGTGATTTTGGAACTTCTCATCTTGTTCAAGCAATTTTCAAGCTTTGTTATTTTGTAACTTTGTACCATGGTTCGTTGATCGTGTTAGTTGATTTCAGGTTGCTACGTAGTTTATCTTTAGAGGTATAGAAACTAGTAAGCACCCCCAGTTTATTAGGAAATCCCAGAAAAGAACCAGATCCATATTTAACTGTAAAAATTTGCGATAAAGCAGTTTAACTTGTAATATATGTGTGCAGGGAACATTCTTATATTTTTTCTCCATCTTAGTTAAAATCAACATTCCTTTATTGAATTCCGGTTTCAGGGAACACACATGCATTGTGCGTCCTTGTTTAAAATGTGAGTCGGAATGAACGCCCTGAATGTTTAGACCTCTATATTTCATTTTAACTGCACATATTCCAGATCTTTGCAAGACTCCCCAAGTTGAAACAAGTAGTATACTAAAACCTCATGCGTTATGTCTCCTGGGTAATTAACCTTTTTTAAGGCTATCATGAAGCACATAATTATATTTATACATTTTACAGTATGCAAGCATTGACCTGCCCCTTCGGTTGACTGTCAAAATCATACCTTAACACTTTAAACCGAGACCGCAAGTTGAACGTTACGTGACATGGAGGACCATGGAGGTATATTAGGCCCGGCGCCCCATCCCACCCCAGCTCCCCCCCCCCCAGTTTTGACTATTCACCGCTCTTTGATTATCTGACTATCTTTCTTACTATCTTTGAGTAACCACTAGGTAAGTGAAATCACCTTGTCTCTACTCTGAAATAAAAGAACTGTTTTGTTTCATGTGATCGCTTAAACAACTTCGGAAAGCAATCTGATGAAGGATTTAGAGGAGTAACGTTATTTTCAGCTACAAAGTACAAAAGTCATTAAGATATGACATTAGTCAGAATTATGGGCAACATCTATTTATGTGATTGTTCATCCATCATATGTTTAGTTCAATCGTTTGGAGTCATTCTGACCCACATTGTCTATTATTACTTGAAATAACCTCGATTTTGGAGGACCATATGCCTTATAAAAAGCGACCAATGAGCAACAGATATGAATAAAGCAATCATTTTATATCAGATAACAGACCTTTCTCCTTCGGGAGATAACTGGATAAATAGTTAAAAGCTATGATGTCTTCAGTGTAATCAAACCAGAGACATCAAATTAACAAACAAATAATTGGGTATGACTTACAATAGACGTTGAAACTGTTAAAAATAAATCAAAATGTAAAATTGATTAGCTTCATCCATTGAGTATCCATGGATAGACTTAGTGGCATAGTTTGATGATTTGAAATCTTTTTCAAAAAAGTAATACCAATCTTGCGAAATAATATACTTTTTATCTGACATGCAAATTATTTTTCGTTAACGTTTATAAACTGAGCATTGTGCATAATTTCACGAGTATCTCAGTCACGAGTCATGTGTACAGTGATGCGTATATATTACAAAAAGAAAATAACACTTATAAACTGATTAAATCTAAAATTTCACTCACGTTAAGGTTGATGTCACATTGAATGATATCCTTCTATTCCTATGTGTTCCTCGCCGTCAATCGGACACTTGATTCTCTATAACTCCACCCTTATTTTTCTCATCCACTATTCTCTTACGCGACGTAACAACCGACCGGCAACACAATCCAAGTTTTAGACGCTATGCAGCTTGAACTCCCTCACTTGTGCATTCGTACACTTACCAACTTTGAGCATACAAAATTGACCGGCGTATCCAAAAAATATATATCACTCCAATGCTGCAGTATGGAACATGATTAATAGTTCTCACCCTATGACTATTTCTACATTATTTAACTTATAACCGAGTATGGTATTTAGAAATATCACTCAATTTACATTTAGTAATTCAAATGACCTAATACTGTAATTTTTATTCTTCGTTAGATAAATATTGATTTTTAATATCTATGTCATTTTTATCATGTCTATGCTGTTTTGAACCCTCAGGTTCACTATTAGGAATTGCATTCCTGAGTGGAATTAATAAGTTCGGTTGTAGGGTCATGTCAGGTCGGTGGTCGCACACTTTAATGTTTTGGGTCAAACTGAAACGATTTTGGGTGTTCAGATATAATATCCCTCTCCGTTGCCCTTGCCCATTTTGAAAACTTATTTCAAACTCTTAAAACTAATCCTAGAATTCAAGATATCAAAACTGCCACGTTACACATACGACAATGTCAGCCATTTTTATAGTGGGAAAGATACTAACGTCCATAAGAATTTTGTATACTCGCCCCATCCTCTCTTACATGGTGAGGTACAACAGAATGTCACTTGGAGCGTTATTATGCTCATACGATGCTAATATTTATAAAAAAAATATTTGAAACTAATGATGACATTTTCATATAATTGTAGTTCAGAGAAAACACGTAGAAAAACGATCTAGAATGTGAAGCTCTCAAGAAAATGTGTTGGCACGGTCCTCATGTGATGACATATGACGAACGAACCCTGCTTCAAATTATATTTTATGTTTGTTTATTGGACAGCTTATGACACCATTTTGCTCTCCCTTGTCAGAGGACTACGTATCGGGCGCTGGCCGTAAGCGTTTTAGAGGTATTAACTCTGATAATTTATGTTTTATCTACTTCTTCAATATTTAAATTTTAATTTGCTTATACGAAAAAATATGCATTTTCAAACCTTCTAGCTCTTGCTCAGTCATTTGTTTATCTGGATCATATCATATGCTAAGTAAACATGTGGTACCAGTTTATATGTTTTACTTGGCAGGTTGCGCTAATGTAGAACAAGTCAGATTACCGTTCACTCTTCCTTTGCAGAACAATGGGACTTTTAAATCATTTTTTCATTTAGTTACCTTGAGATGTATGACCTTTACCACTAGTCTACCCTTTTGACATTATTTAACAATATTGTGGAATGTGTGACCTTCATCACCATACTTGGATCGAAAAATGAGTGACCTTTACCACCAGTGGGGTTTTGTATTACGTTACCTAGAAATGTGTGACATTAACCATTAGTGGGGTTTTGTAGTTCACATTACCTAGAACTTGAAATGTGTGACTTTTGCACCAATGTGACTTTGTATCACGTTACCTAGAAATATGTGACATTAACCATTAGTGGGCTTTTGTAGATCACGTAACCTATAACTTGAAATATGTGACTTTTGCACCAATGTGACTTTGTATCACGTTACCTAGAAATGTGTGACATTAACCATTATAGGTGGGCTTTTGTAGATCACGTAACCTAGAACTTGAAATGTGTGACTTTTGCACCAATGTGACTTTGTATCACGTTACCTAGAAATGTGTGACATTAACCATTAGTGGGCTTTTGTAGATCACGTAACCTATAACTTGAAATATGTGACTTTTGCACCAATGTGACTTTGTATCACGTTACCTAGAAATGTGTGACATTAACCATTAGTGGGCCTTTGTAGATCACGTAACCTAGAATTGTGTGACTTTTGCTACTAGTGAGTCATTGTATCTTTGTAGATCACGTTACCTAGTCTTTGTACCACGCTATAAAGAAATGTGAGACCACTTCCACCAATGGGGCTTTGTGTTTTCGTGTTACGTTACCTAGAGATGTGTGGCAATTACCCCATTGGGGCCTTGTATGGTGTTACCTAGCCCGACCGTACCTAGCGAAGTGACCTTTACCAACACTTTCACCTTGTATGAGAGATGAGTCAGATTCACCACCACTACATAAGGATGTGCAATCTTTACTACAATTAGGTCCTTGCATAAGGTTGCCAAGAGATGTGTCACACTTACCACCTTTTAATCACATGTGACCTTTTCCACCACCGGGACCTTGTACATGTATCACATTATAAAGCGATGTGCGACATTTGGTATCATTTAAGTCTTGTATCACCTTAAAAGTCAAAATAAAGTAAACCTGGCTGTGATGTCACATGAGTCAAAACATTAGTTTACATAAATTAAAGCGATTCGGATATACATATCTTAAAATAGAAAATATACTTTGCACCTTTTTAGATCGCACTCTTAACAAGGGTTAAAATGAAATAATCGTTTCTGATATCAATTAATGTAACTCTGATAATAGAAATTGCAATTTACAGAATGCAACATAAAAATCCATTCAAAGATCAATAGTGGAAACAGATGTTTAGAAAAGTCTGGATTCTGTGTAAAATGTTATCGTGAGCATGTTAATACAACAAAACTGAAAATTGATCAAAATTGCACATTGCAATGGAAGTGTGCATCGTTTTGATGTAACGATATAAGAATGCCGTTATCATGAATGCATGGTATTAAAGAATATGTTGCAATAGGAAATGATAAAATGAAGATATTGACTTTGAACATTAACAATGATGTCCTTGATTGAATCTAATTCGGATGCTGATGATGAAGACACGTGGCTCTTGCAAAATTTTGATCCAAGGAGGGGTTCCCAGGAAGCAGCTAGCGCAATGGCATTTGTCCTACTTATATCTGGAATGATCCTCATGGGGTTAGGTTATTTTATACCAAGGGACTACACATTTGATCCATATGAAGAGGCTAGAAAAATGGAATCCATCGAGCAGTACTATATCACTCTGGCAAAACACTTGGATATTCTGATATTAGTTGGGATGGCCATCGTTTGCACTGGTGGTGTGATCGTGTCTGTGTTGTTTGCCATCGGCATGTACAGAGCAGGGTATATTTGCAACTGGTCCGGCTCAAAACCAAGTGGAACTACTGGACGGGGTGATCGTGGTATAGGGATCCCTGACTATGGCAGTCGAGATATGGAGAGACATCTCATGCCAAACATGTCGGCAGAATAACCACATTATTGTAACTACAAAATATTGGTATCGACAAAAATGGCCCATAATAAATATATATATATTTATATTAATAATATAAAACAAAATGTTGAGATTTACGAATTTTCTATGTATATGTGTTAGTCTCAGATTTTATGAAACGTATGTCCAAAAAATCCCAGTCCCATAAGTCACATTAATATTGACAAGTAAATTAGCTACCTTTGTCTCATTAATATGCAAATTTGAAATCTAAGACCAGCTGATAAGACTATAAGACTAACTTTTTAATGACATGATATAGTGACACGATAATATTAACATATGTTTGCAGCATAACTCTGAATGTATTAATGATATATTAATGCATTGGGTCTTTTAAATTTTTTTATAAAGAATAATATTAATATTTTTTGTCCGCCGTGACGGAGCATTTTCACAGATCACATTTGCAACTGCTCCGTCACAGCGGACAAAAAAATTAAACATTATTTTTTATAAAAGAATTAAAAAGACCAAATACATCAACATCTCATTTATACCTTCATAGTTATGCTGAAACCATGTGTAAATATTATCGTGTCACTATATCGTGCCATTAGAAAGTTAAACAAGAAATGGAACATTTTGAAGTATGATACTCCGGCGCCATAATCAATAGCTTTTCTTCCCAGCGTAATTGGACTTCAAACAGAAGTGAAAGTTACCCGCAAATGATATATCCATTGCATGGAGTAAGTAATTGCAGGCCCGTAGCCAGGGGGGGGGGCTCGGGGGGCTTCGAGCCCCCCCCCCCTGACATCTCCTAAAAAAATGTGGACCTACCTTTTTTGCTTTATTGAAATAAATCCTGCTCTCCCCCACATAAACTGAGCAATTTAGATAAAAACTGGAATTACTGGGCATTGTTTTTTTTCAGCGCCTTTTTCTGACTTGAAATGTTGGTCCTAGCTTCCAGATCCCGCAAGTGCCCTTTACAATACGAAGGGGTTGGTTTAGCATAGGAAATTAAAATTAAATTTATTTGTGGGTGGAGTGGGTGGAGGTTCTGAGGGGGGGGGGGCACTAGCGGATCTAGATGGGTGAGAACCTAATATTCTCGCTCTGAAATTAGGCAGAATGCACCAAATGATGTTCAATTTTCGAAATTTGCTATTGGAGAACCCCCCGGATCCCCCTATTGGCACCTATTCTCGCTTTGAAATTGTTCAGAATGCACCAAAAATGTTCAGTTTTTGAAATTCTCTGGGGGAGTTTCTTGGGGAGAACCCCCATACCCTCCTATTCTTCAATTGGTCAAAATGGGGAGAACCTACAGACCCTTATTCTTGCTCTGAAATTGGTAAGAATGCACCATATGATGCTCAATTTTCGAAATTTTCTTGGGGGAGAACCCCCAGACCCCCCTATTCTCGCTCTGAAACTTGTCAGAATGCACCAAAAGATGTTCAATTTTCAAAATTTGCTGGGGGAGAACCCCCATACCCCCCTATTCTTCAATAGGTCAAAATGGGGAGAACCTACAAACCCCCCATCCTTGCTCGGGTCAGAATGCACCAAATAATGTTCAATTTTCGAAATTTTCTGGGGGAAAAACCCAGACCGCCCCCCCCCCTATTATCTTGCTTGCTCGCTGGGGGGGGGGGGTGTTAAAGATGGGGGGGGGTCGAGCCCCCACTTACAAAAAGCTGGCTACGGGCATGAATTGTGTATGGTATAACGAAAGATATGAGTTAAAAAATAAATCGTGAAGTATTCTTAGTGTTGTTATGAAAAATAGCATGCTCCGTCACAGCGGACAAATATTTCGATACTAGCCTGTGATTTTACCGATCAAATTATTATGACACGGACAAGTGAACGCAAAGCCAATGAATTAATACAGTAATGTATAAATTGCGCATACAAAACAAGCGCTACTTAGTCGACTTCAGAAACCCGATCAGTTTCAGATCTGTGTTTAAAACTGGAGATTTGCAATTTCACGTTGGTGGCAACGGAAATCATTATACTCATGAAGTATTATGCTTTCTGAAGAAAATGATGTATGTCATACATGTCTTAGCTTCAAATATCTTACGAAACGAGCATGTTTAAAATATGTATCATAGAAAACCAGCTGTAACTAAAAATAGGAGCTGATATTTATCTCATAGATATATTCAGTGATAATTGAAAGCTGACAACTATGAATCTCATAGACACATACAGGAGCTGATATTGATTTCATAGATATATTCAGTGATTATTGGAAGCTGACAACTATGGATCCAATAGACACATACAGGAGCAGACATTGATCTCATAGATATATTTAGTGACCATTGGAAGCTGACAACTATGGATCTCATAGACACATATAGGAGCTTACGTGAATCTCATAGATATACAGGGTGTTCCAAAAGTAACAGGACTGGTGCTGGCATTTTGTCGAATATGCACCAATCGTCTTCAAAATTTTACATAATGTATTTCCATGTATTGTAACTAAGACTGAAAAGTTTCGACAAAAATTATGAAACTGGGGTAGAGTTATGGTTGCTATGGTAACATCACATCACAATACCCGGGGCAACATTTCACGCAGAAAGTTACAGAGACTTTAAGCATTTTGTACATCCCATAGCAAAGTTAGAATCCAACAACTGGTGGGAATTACATTTGCTAAATACATTATTTGATATTCCTATGTTAATCCTCTACTTTGAAAAGTAGGGTCCTCTTTGGTCAGTCCAAGAGTAGCACTCAGTATCCATGACTCAAACACATGGGGAGTGAACCCATTTGATGTCACGCAGGGTCGATAGGACAACTTAGAGAAGGTCATTCTCATCTTTAAAGATCTTACCACGCTGATTAGCATTCCATTCCCTATATAAAAGTAAAAATTAGATATTGCATGATCAGAAGAGTATGATGCATGGTTTTAGACCTCAAGACCTAGCTTCGCTATAGCTGCAGTGGTCTTTAATGCTGACTTGCGGGCAGGCGTGTTATGAAGGTGGGTGACTGGCTTCAAATTGGGTCTTTTCAAAAACTCAACAGTGAATTGTGCAGACTGTTATCACGATGCCCATGTCAAGCAGCGTGCCTAATAGGCACGCAGTTTGAAACTCTGACAAACTGCGCGCATATTTCAAAATTGAAGACGGGGAGGACACGACTCCCAAAAAGAGCCAAAATACGAAAAGTACAAGGTTAGTCTCGTTCTTAAGATAGTACCATTCTGTGAAGATGAACTTATTTTACTCATAGTACTCAATGTTGTGCCCGATGTAAACCTAGTTATCTCAATATAAGGGTCTTAAGTAACTTCTGTGTTCAAAATTTACAGTGTAATGTTATATCTATGTCTTTTTATCGTCATTTGCCGTTTATTCAGCCATTGTGTCTGTGTATGCTAGAATATATAGGATCACTCCATCTGATTAAAGCAGGATAGTTTTTCAAAACGATAATACGCCATAAACGTGATTTAAACATTTTTCTTGTCAAACTGCGCGCCTATATTCACATGTATTTTCCAAACTGCGTGCCTTATATTTCAAAATTGCTCGCCTATCCAATCTTTTTTTGAATAATTAGAAAACGTAAGCGCCATATGTAAGGCACATATGTGTCTAATAGTAGAACCCCATAATTGAAACATTATGAGAGTCCATCCACCAAGATGGTGATCTGAAAATAAAAGTTTTTTCGTTCCAAACTTAATTGTCACTTCTATTATACATTTTGACTTTCAATATGAAAATCTCATAAAATCTGACGATAAAGCAAAAATTCCAAAGCTATATGAAAAACACCTACACGTGCCTCTGCAGAAATTCCAATGATAGTATGTAATTTTTATAGTGTATGCGCACAGTTTGTAATTTCTGGCTAAAATGGGCGCGCGGTTTGTGCTTTATTTCTTTTTAATCTCCTGATTATCTGTTTTATCTCGAAATATTTTGAATTATACATGATAAATGCGTAAGGAATTAAATATAAAACGAGTCTAAAGTATTTGTCATTTATGTTTAAAGTGCTAGATCGATTTACGTATAAACTCCCGTTAAATCAGTGACGAAAATGCCATTAATCTGCTTATGTTTTAAAACTTAGATTCATTTGCACATACTTTTTGCTATTATTTGCAAGATTCGTATATTCGCCACAGAATGAACGCATTGAACAAGAAAACAATGCAGGATAAATGTCTTTAAATTACGATTCAAAATTCAGACTCCAACTTAAACGATGCAATGTTGTTAGGCACGCAGTTTGTGATCGAAACAAACTGCGCGCCTAAGTAGGCGCGCAGCTTGACATGGGCACCGTGGTTATACATAATGATATTTCAGGAAATTGAATAAATATTATTATTATTATGAAATCATACTTGAATCTGAGTTGTATAGCAACCCCATAACTATATATATAGGCTATTCCTCAGATTAAAAAATACAGACCATAATAGAATTAACTTTAAGGTACATAGCTGGTCAATAAGGAGAAAATCAAGCTGGGGCAATAAAGTGCTCAATATTATTCAAAAAGCAAACCAGGGCCATGTTTTAGAAATGGAACAAGCAATCAATATCAATCAAACAGTCCAAAATGTTCAACTACACTTCCAAAGTCAAGACCCATTCTTAAATAACATATGGAATGACAAGGGAAACCTTATAAATGGAAATAAATTAAGAACATATAGGGAATTTAAATTCGGTGTCTGCACTGAACAGTTTATAAAGGAAAACTTGCCAAGATACCATAGAAAAATACTGGCAGAATTTATATCTGGTACTTTGAAGTTAGCCATAGAGACAGGTCGCTTTAATAACATTCCATTAGGCATTACACAACAGAAAATGTCTTTTATGTGATAGTGACCAAGTAGAAGATGAAAAACATTTTCTGTTAGACTGTACACATTATATAGATATCAGAAATGACCTATTTTCATATTTAAGAGATTCATTCGATAATTTTAGTGTTGATAATATTACACTCCACTCTATAATGACATGTAAATCTAGTCAAAGGAAAATTGCTTCCTCTATATATAAAATGTTTCAAAAGAGGGCATTTAATCTGGAACGTTTGCAATAACATTGTAATATTGATGCTAT